GAAGATTGAAATGATATGATATGGGACAGTGGTAATATTTATGATATGCTGGGTAGTATGTAAAGGAAGTAAGGTACATTCCCTTGCACATGAGCATGTGCATGTATTGATATCAATCATGTCACCTGCTAATTGGTATGAGCTCCTTTCAAACTTCCTTAATTTTGTAAATGTGAAAGTTCTACATGTATTATGGGTTGAATTCTGTGAAAACGAGATTGAACACATTTCTTAGTTTGTTACATGTAGGTTCTTAGTTGGACATCACTATAGTGAGACCGTCTAGTAGTTTGTAAAGTTTTACTGCATTAACATTTTTTCCAGCAATTTTTCCACTTGAGATCTAGAGCGTGAAACTTTTGCAGGGACATGTAAAAAACACTTAACAATACATAATTTTGCCCATTGTTTGCTCGCCCAAGGTCTGGAACTTTTTACTCCCAAAGCTGAAAAAGAAAAGCAAATGTTGTTTAGGTCTGCAAAACTATTGATGCGGTGAATTGTTTGTTACAAGAAAGAGAGTCAATCAAAATTGTATTTCCCTCCTTATTCGCTCCCTGATGGTTAGCTTAACTGAACCGTGGACAGCATAGCGTGCAACTAGCCAACTTATATAACAAAAGAACAATCGTATTTTTAGTTTGGTGTCATTTGTCTTCACGCCCCACTAAGTTAGTTGTATAGTTTATCAGCATGTGGCGAGGAGAGGGGTTAGCTTTTTTTTGATTTGGTAACCTTTAACCATGGTCCTGCTTTAAACCCACATGCAAAGCTAAAGTAGCTGTTATACAATGTAAATATGCTGATCGCATTATTCCATTATTGCAAATTGAAAACAGGTTATTCAGACATTTCATGCGCATCCTGGTAACATTGCAAAAGACTGTTTGGAGGGCCGGGACAAACCCGTGTTGATTGTAATATGTACATGGAGCAAATAAGTGCAAACACTCAAATTTTAGGTAGACCAGGGATTCAGGGAGTCAATCATTAACACCATACAGGTTAATACCCCCAGCCATATACCTGAGAGCAACACAGGACCAACAACAGACCCCTGGAGCAAACAATGATGTTACCCCCACATGGCCCCCAAAATGGGTTGGTTTGGGGTGTGACCGTGGACCTGGGTGTGATTGAGGTACCAGTAGTGGGGTCCCCAGTAGTAAGGGGTGTACAATTTAGGGCTTACAGGGCCTTGTAGAGAAAACTCTAATTATGTCAGTGTTTAAGTGAGAATTAAACAATTTTCTTAACCCATTGCCTGCAGAAACAGGGTACATGTAGTACTGTTAAGATGTAGACAACAAAAGGTTGGATTTTATGATGTGTATTTGACAAATTTGCTAAATTGTAATGGAATGCTGAAATAAGCTGTGCTTGATGTATGTGTTTTATGGATTTATTTGAAACAAGGAACATTCTGCTGTAGTATGACCTTGACTTCCATATCAATTTCAAACTTTGAAACAAAAACAACTAAAAATTGTTTTATTCAACAAAGGCCTTTGTCTTGGAGCTTTAACTGTTATATCATTCACAGCATGCCTAAAAATCTGTTTTAGTTCACATAATTTTGTCTTGTTTTGGAAGATATGACTGTGCATGCTAAGATTATGTTTATTTTTTATTGAAAGTACTTTGTTATTCAACTCACTAAAGTGTAATACCGGTAATGATACAAGTTATTACCATTGTATGATGTATAATGTGTGTGTGTGTATGTATATATGATTTGTAAATACAGAGCTTTATTGAGTATATTCAACTATTGATTTATTTGCCTTTAGTACATACACTTACTAGGGGTGAATAATAATAATATTTTGTCTCATGCAGAGTAAAATGCTATGAGAAAGAAATGTAGAAGTGAAATCTGTGATTTTTCTTACGACTTTCTATCAATTTGAAAGAGAAGTTGGCCTACTGCCAAACAAACAAGGGTAGGTCTATGAGATAATACAACGTGCTGTTGCATCTCAAAGTATCTTTAAAATAAACCAAGTGAAATATAAATAAGTTGAAATTTGTGCATTTATTGCTCTCAGATATTTGTAACTATGCTGCTGCTGGTGGTGGTGGTGGTGCAACGATGGTGATGGTAGTGGTGGTGTTTTTGATGATGATGGTGGTGGTAGTGGTGAAGATGATGATATAATCATGATTATGGTGATAGTGGTGATGGTGATGATGGTGGTGGTAATGATGATGGTGATGGTTATGATCAATATTTATAATGATGATGATTGTGATGGGGTGGTAATGATGATGATCGTAATGATGATGATCGTAGTTATGATGATGATGATCAGATGATAACAATTGGGATGTTGAATATGATGATGAGGAGGGTGGTGGTGGTGATAATGATGATGCTACTAAAATGACAGGATTTAATTTCATGATTCAATTTTATTCTTGAATTTTAGGCACCCTAAAGTTAAAACATCAAGAAAATGGAGAATAGAATTACACACAAAAATTGACATGATACATTTTTACGTGTTACTAGCCTACTTATTCTATGACCTTGTGTTGTACTTTCACTTCTGTTAACATAAACAACAAAGGCCTCCATTTCAAGGCCAAACAAAATTCTTTCCTTTGAATATTCTGTGAAGGATGCCTGTACGAGGGAATGGTAAGGTCACTTCACCACACCCACCCACACGCACACACCCACCCTCACACATACTACGCCATTTTTAAGACGTTTACCACTACATCGATCTCACTGTTGATTGTACCATTGTAACAATGGTACAACAGAACAGTTCTGAATTCTGCTCTGCATCTATTGATTGTATTGATTTTATTTTGACGTTGTGCCAAGTTTGATGGGGGTGGGAGCTTGGAGAGAATTTTCTGAACGTGAATAGGAAGACAAAAATTGAAATAAACGTTTCATAAAGAATAGTCATATAGTATGCAATTATGCCGAAGCGCGGTAAATCAAAGAAAGAGAGAGAGATAGAGAGAGAGAGAGAGAGAGAGAGAAAGAGAGAGAGAGAGGCAGTGAGAGAGAAGGGAGGGGTGAGATGGTGAGAGATGTAGGCTTTATAACATGAATGTAGGGCCCTCAAGGAGAACGGTGTTCATACTGATGAGGTTATCCAGGGTAAACAGGACTAGCATCATTGCTATTATTACTATCATTGACATTATTAGTAGTACCATTGATATAATATTAGTAGAAGTAGCGTTATTGTTATTTTATCATTAATCATAAATTATCCATCTGGTAGTAAAGAGGGAGGTGAATCAGACGTAGAGTTATTTTGCCGAAAGATTGACATTTAAAAAGAGAGAGAGGATGGGAAGAGAAAGAGGGGTCGAAAGAAAGAGAGGAGGAGTGCAAATTATGAAAGAGAGATAGAGATATAGAGGGGGAAAAGAAGATGAAAAGAAAATCACTGTGCGTATAGGACTTCAAATTGTCAGAATCGGTAATGTCAATGTAATGTTTTTGTAAACAACTTTTCCTTTTGTTCCAACACACAAAAAGATTTAAAATTCATTTTTTTTTCCACAGATATATGACTCAGCAGGATCTATTCTCTTTAGAGGACCTATAATAATATATTTTGATAAGTGTCCCAAAGAACATGGCACTTGAGAGAAAAACATAAATTAATAATATTTGTGTACACGACAAAAACGGGAGAGTTATCCGCGACTACGTCACAATCCACTGATCAAACTGCCAATTTGAAATTTAGTGATCTCATATTTCAAACACACATAGCTTTCATATTTTGGCCCGATTTATTTCATACTGTTGTATTCTGCTTGTCTTATTTGTCTGATTAAAAATAAAATATGTATGGGTGGTAGTGATTCAGATATTTCTTTTGCCCCCCCCCCCCTCCCCCCAAAAAACGTATTTGCTCATTAAGCCATTGCCCCTGGAAGATGAGCCCCCTGGAATGGTTGCCCCCCTCCAATTCCCCAACTGCTCCCGGCGCGCCTGTATTATTACGTTTTGGAAATATAAATAAAAGAATGGGGTATGGTCCACGTGAGGATCGAACTCACGACCTTCGCGTTATTAGCACGACGCTCTGCCGATTAAGCTAGCGGACCCATGCTCGACAACTAAAATGCATCTTTACAATTCAACTCATTTTTGTAAGTTTGTAAGAAAATAATGGGCAGGGAGTTTTCAAGTATTAGGTAAATACCTTTGGGAAATATAAATAAAAGAATGGGGTATGGTCCACGTGAGGATCGAACTCACGACCTTCGCGTTATTAGCACGACGCTCTGCCGATTGAGCTAGCGGACCCATGCTCGACAACTAAAAAGCATCATTACAATTTAACTCATTTTTGTAAGTTTGTGAGAAAATAATGGGTCCAGACTTTTCAAGTATTATATCTTTTGGAAATAGCAATAAAAGGGTAGGGTATGGTCCACGTGAGGATCGAACTCACGACCTTCGCGTTATTAGCACGACGCTCTGCCGATTGAGCTAGCGGACCCATGCTTGACAACTAAAAAGCATCATTACAATTGAACTCATTTTTGAAAGTTTGTGAGAAAATAATAGGCCCAGACTTTTCAAGTATTATATCTTTTGGAAATATAAATAAAAGAATGGGGTATGGTCCACGTGAGGATCGAACTCACGACTTTCGCGTTATTAGCACGACGCTCTGCCGATTGAGCTAGCGGACCCATGCTCGACAACTAAAAAGCATCATTACAATTCAACTCATTTTTGTAAGTTTGTAAAAAATAATGGGCCCAGACTTTTCAAGTATTATATCTTTTGGAAATAGCAATAAAAGGATAGGGTATGGTCCACGTGAGGATCGAACTCACGACCTTCGCGTTATTAGCACGACGCTCTGCCGATTGAGCTAGCGGACCCATGCTAGCCTTGATAACTAAAAAGCATCATTACAATTGAACTCATTTTTGAAAGTTTGTGAGAAAATAATAGGCCCAGACTTTTCAAGTATTATATCTTTTGGAAATATAAATAAAAGAATGGGGTATGGTCCACGTGAGAATCGAACTCACGACCTTCGCGTTATTAGCACGACGCTCTGCCGATTGAGCTAGCGGACCCATGCTCGACAACTAAAAAGCATCATTACAATTAAACTCATTTTTGTAAGTTTGTAAAAAATAATGGGCCCAGACTTTTCAAGTATTATATCTTTTGGAAATAGCAATAAAAGGATAGGGTATGGTCCACGTGAGGATCGAACTCACGACCTTCGCGTTATTAGCACGACGCTCTGCCGATTGAGCTAGCGGACCCATGCTCGACAACTAAAAAGCATCATTACAATTAAACTTATTTTTGTAAGTTTGTAAAAAATAATGGGCCCAGACTTTTCAAGTATTATATCTTTTGGAAATAGCAATAAAAGGATAGGGTATGGTCCACGTGAGGATCGAACTCACGACCTTCGCGTTATTAGCACGACGCTCTGCCGATTGAGCTAGCGGACCCATGCTCGAAAACTAAAAAGCATCATTACAATTAAACTTATTTTTGTAAGTTTGTAAAAAATAATGGGCCCAGACTTTTCAAGTATTATATCTTTTGGAAATAGCAAAAAAGGGTAGGGTATGGTCCACGTGAGGATCGAACTCACGACCTTCGCGTTATTAGCACGACGCTCTGCCGATTGAGCTAGCGGACCCATGCTCGACAACTAAAAAGCATCATTACAATTAAACTTATTTTTGTAAGTTTGTAAAAAATAATAGGCCCAGACTTTTCCAGTATTATATCGTTTGGAAATAGCAATAAAAGGATAGGGTATGGTCCACGTGAGGATCAAACTCACGACCTTCGCGTTATTAGCACGACACTCTGCCGATTGAGCTAGCGGACCCATGCTTGAAAAAGCATCATTACAATTAAACTCATTTTTGAAAGTTTGTGAGAAAAAAATGGGCCCAGACTTTTCAAGTATTATACCTTTTAGAAATATATAAATAAAATCGTACCTTTTTATGTCTTTGTTGGAAAATCACAAATTCCCTAATGTACAGTCAGATGAAAAAATATGTTTATTTAGAAGCTTTCGTGTCAGGGCCTGTAAAACGTCGGGACTCTGGGGCTCCAGCGCCCCCGAACTTTTTTGAAAAAGGATGTTAAAGAGCAAAAGATAAATAGAGAGAAAAAAAATGAGCGACCTGCCAAAAACAAAAATGAGGTATCAAAATATGCTCATCTCGTAATTAAATGCCTAAAACCCCTGAGCGTACAGGGGCTACGCCCTCTAGACCACACCAAGGGGCCTAAAGAAGGACATTGGATGCTCATCTGACAGTAATTAAATATGTAAGAGTGGTGGTGATTCAGATATGTTTTTTTGCCCTCCCCCCCCCCCTCCCCCTAAAAAACGTATTTGCTCATAAAGTCATTGCCCCTGGATGGTGAGCCCCCTGGAATGGTTACCCCACCCCACCCCCCCCCCCCCCCCGAAAAAAAAAAAAAAAAAAAAAAAATCTCCAACTGCTTCAGGCGCGCCTGTATTATTACCTTTTGGAAATATAAATAAAAGGATAGGGTATGGTCCACGTGAGGATCGAACTCACGACCTTCGCGTTATTAGCACGACGCTCTGCCGATTGAGCTAGCGGACCCATGCTCGACAACTAAAAAGCATCATTACAATTCAACTCATTTTTGTAAGTTTGTGAGAAAATAATAGTTCCAGACTTTTCAAGTATTATATCTTTTGGAAATATAAATAAAAGAATGGGGTATGGTCCACGTGAGGATCGAACTCACGACCTTCGCGTTATTAGCACGACGCTCTGCCGATTGAGCTAGCGGACCCATGCTCGACAACTAAAAAGCATCATTACAATTAAACTTATTTTTGTAAGTTTGTAAAAAATAATGGGCCCAGACTTTTCAAGTATTATATCTTTTGGAAATAGCAATAAAAGGATAGGGTATGGTCCACGTGAGGATCGAACTCACGACCTTCGCGTTATTAGCACGACGCTCTGCCGATTGAGCTAGCGGACCCATGCTTGATAACTAAAAAGCATCATTACAATTGAACTCATTTTTGAAAGTTTGTGAGAAAATAATGGGCCCAGACTTTTCAAGTATTATATCTTTTGGAAATATAAATAAAAAAATGGAGTATGGTCCACGTGAGGATCGAACTCACGACCTTCGCGTTATTAGCACGACGCTCTGCCGATTGAGCTAGCGGACCCATGCTCGAAAACTAAAAAGCATCATTACAATTAAACTTATTTTTGTAAGTTTGTAAAAAATAATGGGCCCAGACTTTTCAAGTATTATATCTTTTGGAAATAGCAAAAAAGGGTAGGGTATGGTCCACGTGAGGATCGAACTCACGACCTTCGCGTTATTAGCACGACGCTCTGCCGATTGAGCTAGCGGACCCATGCTCGACAACTAAAAAGCATCATTACAATTAAACTTATTTTTGTAAGTTTGTAAAAAATAATAGGCCCAGACTTTTCCAGTATTATATCTTTTGGAAATAGCAATAAAAGGATAGGGTATGGTCCACGTGAGGATCGAACTCACGACCTTCGCGTTATTAGCACGACGCTCTGCCGATTGAGCTAGCGGACCCATGCTTGATAACTAAAAAGCATCATTACAATTAAACTCATTTTTGAAAGTTTGTGAGAAAATAATGGGCCCAGACTTTTCAAGTATTATACCTTTTAGAAATATATAAATAAAATCGTACCTTTTTATGTCTTTGTTGGAAAATCACAAATTCCCTAATGTACAGTCAGATGAAAAGATATGTTTATTTAGAAGCTTTCGTGTCAGGGCCTGTAAAACGTCGAGACTCTGGGGCTCCAGCGCCCCGGAACTCTTTTGAAAAAGGATGTTAAAGAGCAAAAGATAAATAGAGAGAAAAAAAATGAGCGACCTGCCAAAAACAAAAATGGGGTATCAAAATATGCCCATCTCGTAATTAAATGCCTAAAACCCCTGAGCGTACAGGGGCTACGCCCTCTAGACCACACCAAGGGGCCTAAAGAAGGACATTGGATGCTCATCTGACAGTAATTAAATATGTAAGAGTGGTGGTGATTCAGATATGTTTTTTTGCCCTCCCCCCTCCCCCTAAAAAACGTATTTGCTCATAAAGTCATTGCCCCTGGATGGTGAGCCCCCTGGAATGGTTACCCCACCCCCACCCCCCCCCCCCCACCCAAAAAAAAAAAAAAAAAAAAAAAAAATCTCCAACTGCTTCAGGCGCGCCTGTATTATTACCTTTTGGAAATATAAATAAAAGGATAGGGTATGGTCCACGTGAGGATCGAACTCACGACCTTCGCGTTATTAGCACGACGCTCTGCCGATTGAGCTAGCGGACCCATGCTCGACAACTAAAAAGCATCATTACAATGGAACTCATTTTTGTAAGTTTGTGAGAAACTAATGGGTCCAGACTTTTCAAGTATTAGGTAAATACCTTTGGGAAATATAAATAAAAGAATGGGGTATGGTCCACGTGAGGATCGAACTCACGACCTTCGCGTTATTAGCACGACGCTCTGCCGATTGAGCTAGCGGACCCATGCTTGATAACTAAAAAGCATCATTACAATTCAACTCATTTTTGTAAGTTTGTGAGAAAATAATGGACCCAGACTTTTCAAGTATTATATCTTTTGGAAATATAAATAAAAGAATGGGATATGGTCCACGTGAGGATCGAACTCACGACCTTCGCGTTATTAGCACGACGGTCTGCCGATTAAGCTTGCGGACCCATGCTCGACAACTAAAAAGCATCATTACAATTCAACTCATTTTTGTAAGTTTGTAAGAAAATGATGGGCAGGGAGTTTTCAAGTATTAGGTAAATACCTTTGGGAAATATAAATAAAAGAATGGGGTATGGTCCACGTGAGGATCGAACTCACGACCTTCGCGTTATTAGCACGACGCTCTGCCGATTGAGCTAGCGGACCCATGCTTGATAACTAAAAATCATCATTACAATTGAACTCATTTTTGAAAGTTTGTGAGAAAATAATGGGCCCAGACTTTTCAAGTATTATATCTTTTGGAAATATAAATAAAAAAATGGAGTATGGTCCACGTGAGGATCGAACTCACGACCTTCGCGTTATTAGCACGACGCTCTGCCGATTGAGCTAGCGGACCCATGCTTGATAACTAAAAAGCATCCTTACAATTAAACTCATTTTTGAAAGTTTGTGAGAAAATAATGGGCCCAGACTTTTCAAGTATTATATCTTTTGGAAATAGCAAAAAAGGGTAGGGTATGGTCCACGTGAGGATCGAACTCACGACCTTCGCGTTATTAGCACGACGCTCTGCCGATTGAGCTAGCGGACCCATGCTCGACAACTAAAAAGCATCATTACAATTAAACTTATTTTTGTAAGTTTGTAAAAAATAATAGGCCCAGACTTTTCCAGTATTATATCTTTTGGAAATAGCAATAAAAGGATAGGGTATGGTCCACGTGAGGATCGAACTCACGACCTTCGCGTTATTAGCACGACGCTCTGCCGATTGAGCTAGCGGACCCATGCTTGATAACTAAAAAGCATCATTACAATTAAACTCATTTTTGAAAGTTTGTGAGAAAATAATGGGCCCAGACTTTTCAAGTATTATACCTTTTAGAAATATATAAATAAAATCGTACCTTTTTATGTCTTTGTTGGAAAATCACAAATTCCCTAATGTACAGTCAGATGAAAAGATATGTTTATTTAGAAGCTTTCGTGTCAGGGCCTGTAAAACGTCGAGACTCTGGGGCTCCAGCGCCCCGGAACTCTTTTGAAAAAGGATGTTAAAGAGCAAAAGATAAATAGAGAGAAAAAAAATGAGCGACCTGCCAAAAACAAAAATGGGGTATCAAAATATGCCCATCTCGTAATTAAATGCCTAAAACCCCTGAGCGTACAGGGGCTACGCCCTCTAGACCACACCAAGGGGCCTAAAGAAGGACATTGGATGCTCATCTGACAGTAATTAAATATGTAAGAGTGGTGGTGATTCAGATATGTTTTTTTGCCCTCCCCCCTCCCCCTAAAAAACGTATTTGCTCATAAAGTCATTGCCC